TATCAAATCAAGAGTGTCAACATGTTGATATTAAGGTTGTCTACTCATGGCATCTACAACACTAGTGAGGAGAGCATCTGTCTGTACCAACACTGTAACAGACGTGTATTTTTTGACAGAATAGGGATTGTTTCAGACACCTTTTTCCTGATGGAGTGAGGAGTTATTAGATTTTCGGATCTCTAGTTTTGAATCAAATGTAATTGTTAGTGTTATAATAATGCTGATTTGGTACTTAATGAGGAAATGATTTGTTTGACACAGTCCCTGTTTTGGGATTTGATTTGTGATGACAGACCAAAGGGTTATTTATATTTTTGACTGGTTGACTAGCCAGTAAATATAATCTGTTTGTAAATCATTGTTTTACTGTATTTGTGTTCTTATGGATTTATTAATTAGCTTTTATGAGTAGATAATAAACAAAGATAAAAACTTGGAAGAGGTGATTTTGTTTTACTACCTGTAAGGAGTACAGTATGTCAGCATCGTCATTTTTACATTAATTATTGTCTCGCAATTCACAGGTATGGGCAGAGCTGCTCCTCTTGCATGAGCCAGAATCCCCTCTCCTTGGGATCAGGTCGAATCCCAGGGAGATTTTGTTCTGTTTGGTTGTTAACACCATGCATTTAGGTGTGGATTTCAAATTGGCATCCTCCCATATTGAACACATGCTTATTTGTTTGTTGTTGTTTAATGTGGTCCTCAGCAATATTCCAGCTACATGGAGTTGGTCTGTAAAAAATCGAGTCTGGACCAGACAATTCAGTGATCAACAGCATGAACATCGATGTACGTAACTGGGATGCGATGACATGTGTCAACCAAGTCAGCGAGCCTGGCCACCCGATCTACTCAGGGGCATAGCTACCATTATGGAAAAAAATGCCGGGCTTACACATGATTGTTGCTAAAAAGGTTGGGCAAGCCCTCAATACTATTTAAATATAAAGCTTTGCTTTCACGGGCTTACACGAAACAATTGGCTTGCTACGCGCCTGGTAGTCGCCTCTTACGAAAACCATGGGTTGCTGAAGACAAAATCTAGCCAGGATCTTCACAGATACCAAACTAATGCTTGGTGATAAAACTGAAATATTGTTTCATGCAGGGTCAACTTCGACACGCTCAAGTTCGCCTTCTGTCGGGAATGCCCACTATCAGCATGGTCAGTAACGCGTGCAGTCCGGCAACGTGGTTGTGTACATCGCATGGCAATGTGTTTAGAATAAATAACACTGGCCATTTTGAATCGACGCCTCTTTCGAATCGGGGTCAGATTGAAGCTGTGGTAGGATATGCATCCAGAGTTGAAGAATGCAGACACAGAGATATCAATCACTGGATTGTCTGGTCCAGACACGATTATTTACAGACCGCCGTCAGATAGAAGAATTATGGTTGAACGCAGCGTAAAACAACAAACAAACAACAGGAGTACGCGAGATTTGCCATGGCCTGTCTACGTCAACGTTTTGACAGTGTTTTAAAGTCTACTGATGAACGGCAGTATTATGAAATGGTTATAACACGCTCATGTACACCAGCCAATCATCGGGAATTATGAGAGGCTTTAGTATATACAGTATGATGAAAACACCAACAACTAATAGATAAAAAAAAGAAAAGATATCCCCTCCTCGAAAAAACAATAATAACATAATTTACTAAACATCCGTGAGGTAATTGTATTGAAATAGTAAAAGTAATTGTATTGAAATATGGGGAAATATGTTTACAAAACATCCGTGAGAGTGACGAAATAGTAAGGTAATTGTATTGAAATATGGGGAAAAGTTTACTAAACATCCGTGAGAGTGACGAAATAGTAAAGTAATTGTATTGAAATATGGGGAAAAGTTTACTAAACATCCGTGAGAGTGACGAAATAGTAAAAACATCCGTAATTGTATTGAAATATGGGGAAAAGTTTACTAAACATCCGTGAGAGTGATAGTAAGGTAATTGTATTGAAATATGGGGAAAAGTTTACTAAACATCCGTGAGAGTGACGAAATAGTAGTGTAAAATATGGGGAAAACTTCCGTGAGTATTGAAATATGGGGGGAAAAAGTTTACAAAACATCCGTGAAACATCCGTGAGTTTAGTGAGTGAAATAGTAAAGTAATTGTATTGAAATATGGGGAAAAGTTTACTAAACATCCGTGAGAGTGACGAAATAGTAAAATTGTATTGTATTGAAAACATGGGGAAAAGTTTACAAAACATCCGTGAGTAAGTGATTGAAATAGTAAAAACATCCGTGAATTGTATTGAAATATGGGGAAAAGTTTACTAAACATCCGTGAGAGTGACGAAATAGTAAAGTAATTGTATTGAAATATGGGGAAAAGTTTTACAAAACATCCGTGAGTGACGAAATAGTAAGGTAATTGTATTGAAATATGGGGAAAAGTTTACTAAACATCCGTGAGAGTGACGAAATAGTAAAATAATTGTATTGAAATATGGGGAAAAGTTTACAAAACATCCGTGAGAGTATTATTGAAATATGGGGAAAAGTTTAATATATGGGGAAAAGTTTACAAAACATCCATGAGAGGAAATAGAAATAGTAAAATATAAAAGTTGTATTGAAATATGGGGAAATGGGGAAAAGTTTACAAACATCCGTGAGAGTGACGAAATAGTAAAGTAATTGTATTGAAATATGGGGAAAAGTTTACAAAACATCCGTGAAATAGAGTGACGAAATAGTAAAAACATCCGTGAGTAATTGTATTGAAATATGGGGAAAAGTTTACAAAACATCCGTGAGAGTAGAAAAGTAATTGTATTGAAATATGGGGAAAAGTTTACAAAACATCCGTGAAAGTAGAGGAAATAGTAAAGTAATTGTATTGAAATATGGGGAAAAGTTTACTAAACATCCGTGAGAGTGACGAAATAGTAAAGTAAAATTGTATTGAAATATGGGGAAAAGTTTACAAAACATCCGTGAGAGTGACGAAATAGTAAAATATGTAATTGTATTGAAATATGGGGAAAAGTTTACAAAACATCCGTGAGAGTGAGTGAAGGTATTTGAAATATGGGGAAAAGTTTACAAAACATCCGTAAAAATATGGGAAAAGTTTACAAAACATCCGTAAATTGTATTGAAAATATGGGGAAAAGTTTACAAAACATCCGTGAGAGTGACGAAATAGTAAAAGTAATTGTAATTGTATTGAAATATGGGGAAAAGTTTACAAAACATCCGTGAGAGTGACGAATTAGTAAAGGAAATAGGGGGAAAAGTTTACAAAACATCCGTGAGTATGACGAAATTGTAATTGTATTGAAATATGGAAGAAAGTTTACAAAACATCCGTGAGAGTGACGAAATAGTAAAGTAATTGTATTGAAATATGGGGAAAAGTTTACAAAACATCCGACAATATTTATATGTAAACCTTCTAGCTTCACAAACTTGTGATGTATCAATGGTAATGATAATAAGAGAAAACACAAGTACGAAGTGTTTCGTTTCTGACTGATTAGTTAATCATTTCTTATCCAACCACATTAAAAAACAACAAACTACCACTCTGATTTGGAACAGCCGCTCTGACGGCCACATCACTGTAAGAGCTAATATGCTATTTTTATATTCACAGAAATGTGTTTTTATCAATCATTTTTAGATAATTATATTTGAAATTATAGGTTACAAAATGTAAAATTGTGGTTACTGCGATACTAAAAGGATCTGCACCCAGTTCTACATTGAAAACACAGCATGTCTTTTAATTACTACATGAGGACTTCTACACCATATGGAGCCACGACTGTGTATACAAGGAGTTACACTGTTAAGACCGATACAAAATCAACAGCTGTCATCAACAATTAAAGTTCAAAGGGGGTAGATTGAACCCTTTCCTCGGGAATTAAGACCAAGACAATGAAACCGCTAATCACTGTAGCTGCATGGCACTCTGTTGGTTGCATAACGCTGGACTGACATCGGATTACAGTCACGTGATAGATAGATAGATATTCTTTATTTCCTCCAGTGAATGAAGATACAATGTGATATGATATAATCGGATTACAGTCACGTGATAGATTAAGTCGCTTTTCTATCTTTTTAAGTAGAGAACTGCCGTATAGCAGATTAAAGCTGACACGTACCAAGATAACAATGTACAATACAAACAAATGTATCCTTTGAAATGTTTTCACAGAAAGGTAAGAGGGTTTGGCACCAAAGACCGTGTCATGTTGGCGACTGTACGAGCGCTTCTGCATGGTGAATCTGATTTGGAACTTTGATGTGGCTTGAGAAAAAAGCTATTTAAAATATCTACAAAATATCTTAAAACATGTTAAAATATAAAAAAGCCTAACATTTTAAACTATTTAAAACATTAAAACAATATATATTGAAACATATCTAAATTTTAAAAATATTTAAAATTTAAAGAAAATATTTAAAATTTAAAGAAAATGTACATTTGTAAAATATTTATTTTAAAAATTTGTTAAAAATATTAAATTTTTAAATTTGTTAGAAATATTAAATTTTTAAATTTGTTAGAAATATTAAATATTCTAAAAATATTTTAAAATTTTAAAAAATGTAACAATTATTTTAAAATTGCTTGCTGTTTAACGCCACAATCAGAAATAAAATCCAGCTACAGCCAAGTCAGCGAGCCTGACCACTCAACCCATCAATCGCCTCTTACCGCAAGCTTGGGTTGTTGAACACCAGTTCTTGTCCGGATCTTCACGTGTATAAGTAAAGATAGTGCAGAAATATATTAATAGGGCCGAAAGACAAAACTGATATATTCTCGTTATTATACAGATATAACATGCTTCCGAAATATATAATTACATGTTTATGTTTTTATTACTTGTAACGAGACAAATGACATGCCCACAGAGTAGCCTGCTCAAACGTGACAACAGTTCCCAGTGCTAATCTGTAGTCGCCTTGGGCCGTGTCAAGCAAACAATGTGGATAGAGATAAGCGGCCATCGCCACCCAGCGGTATAATTACTACAATCGTCAATGCAACGGCGGTTAGTGTTAAAATAAACACCACTCTGTCTGCCATTGTATCGCTGAACCACATATATCCTTCAAGTCTGAAGATGTTTAAATCGCACATGGAATACATGGTCACTGTGTCCATGGACCACTGACCAGAACGTCGGTCAACCAGCTGCTGTGGGACACACTCACCTGTTGGGGTCACCTGGAGATAGTCCCTACCTGGAGATAGCCCCTAGGAGCTAGAATTGGGGAGAAAATAAGGATATACTCAAAATGGCTGGTAAGATCTAAAACAGTCATCATTTATCCAATGTTTATGTTTTTCATTTTGTTTTTAGATATGTGTGTGTATGTATGTATGTTCCTTGCGTTCATAAGCTTGACTCACACGCTCAGACAACTTGGACAGGTTTAAAGAACACACATGTGATATTGACAAACTTTATGGATAACAGCTCTAGCTTCTTTTATTTCGAGAAATAAACTATAGAAACTATAAAAGAACTATAAACGTGTAAACTAGAAGTAGGTTTAGTTCGTGAAATTAAAGTATCTCTATCGATATGTCGCACTCACGAAATAAAATAAGTTGTTATCCATATAGTTTGCCAACATAGTACTTCTAAAATGCCACTAAAAACAGTTAACGCCCACTTGTACACATTCGTCTTTTTTTCACGGGTTATTTTGTATGTCGGTATTTAGTTTAATTTTAGACTTACGCAAATCCCCAAACAATGGTTTGTTAAATCAGACTTGCCCCTTTAAAGGGTAGAATTACTTAACACCTGTTACATATCTATCTCAGTTGAAACAATAAGTTGAAATCTGCATGTAAACGAATTCAGCATGAAACCAGCAAACAATACATAAATGTTGTACAATTACCGATGGTATTCTAAAATTTACAAGGTTTATAAATCAATACAAATTACACCAAAGGAATACAATAACAGTACAAAATGGCGGGACAAATGAAAATGGCACTACAATACAGTATACAAACGGTGACAAGAGCAATAACGTCAACGACCAAGCTACCAAATCAAGCCTTGGCTGAGGATCCAGGGCGAAAAGTGATCTGCACTAGTGTTGGGAATTGGTTAAAATCTCATAATTGATGATTAGTTCATTACAACCGATCAATCATCGAAAATAATTGGTTTGCGTCATTTATCATATGTTCCTGTTATCTTTGTTAATGCACACGGGGCGGTGGGGTAGCCTAATGGTTAAAGCGTTGGCTCGTCACGCCGAAGACCCGGGTTCGAATCCCCACATGGGCACAATGTGTGAAGCCCATTTCTGGTGTCCCCCGCCGTGATGTTGCTGGAATATTGCTAAAAGCGGCGTAAAACCAAACTCAGTCAGTCAGTCAGTCAACCAAGTAATGCACACACAAAAAAAAAAGTAAAGTGTTAAAACACAAAAATAAATAAAAACATGTAGTAATTTGGGTCTTTTGCAAATTGTACAAAATCCATTGGCAAATTTCGCATATTTAAATGATGATTAGTATGTTAGGAACACAGATTTCCTGGATTCTTTAAGATAAATTCAACCATGACTTGGAACGAGCTTTTAGTGCTTATGAAATGTAAATTAATTGACACAGACAAAACCAAGCTTGTGTAAAATATTGTTGATGCAAACAAGTATTCCCAAATTGGTTGTGTTCGATTATGAGAAAACACAATCGATTGCTTGGTCGTTTAGGCACTGCGACTAATCTTCGATTATTTCAATTAAACGGACCACCACTAATCTCCACACAACTGATGGTCTTGATCTGTCTGTAAAAGCTTCCAGATAACAAAGGTGGACCATTCCGGCTGCTTCAGAAGCTCCAAGACTACTGTTCACTCCAAATCTAGATGCAGTAACTACCACACCACTGTCCTATCCTCGGCCCCGTTTCACAAAGCTGTCGTAGCGTATCTCCTATACTGTAACTCCAAATCTAGATGCCGTAACTACCACACCACTGTCCTATCCTCGGCCCCGTTTCACAAAGCTGTCGTAGCGTATCTCCTATACTGTACCTCCAAATCTAGATGCAGTAACTACCACACCACTGTCCTCGCCTCGGCCCCGTTTCACAAAGCTATCGTAGCGTACCTCCGATACTGTAACATAGACTTACGACAGCTTGTTAAAGGGGCCCCTGAATCTTAACAGAACCAATGTAATTCACTTACAACACTGTTTTATACAATGAATTGCACTGCACGTAACGCATTCATGGACTTATCAATCAGTATAGTCCATTAGCAAGGCTATTCTCGTATGATATTGGAGCATACTTCAAACAGCAATACTCAGTGCCTTACCAAAACAGGGGAGGTAACAATAATACTGGACATTGCAAACCACCAAATAAAACCATGACGTGGGTTATCATTATCTTATAATAGGCCGCTTTTACAGACGCATGTGCATATTTTACTGACGCTTCGCTGACTAGTCCATGACCCTTTCTAGATACTACGTCCATTCGTGACCAACTTTTATTCTAAGATAGCGACTCGTGCCCCTCTGAAAGATTTCATATTGGCGTAGGAACATCAGAACTATTTTTTAAACAAGAATGATAACTCTATTCCTGTTTGATTCCGGGATTCAAGCCACCGAAGTATTCATCCATATACTGCTGTTTTTGTTTTTGCTCATTTATTTTAAAGAATTAAACCTCCTTGATACAACTAAAAGGAGAAAAACATATTTTTAAGGACATATTCTGACGTAACTATAGTATGACCAGAAATTATTGAGAATTTTAGGAATATGTTTAATTGGATTTCTAGTATAAACAACCTTGACCAGCTATCAAGTGCTTGGTTTCATTCAAGAGAGACAACTCCGTTAATCCTTTTCATTAGTTTGTGAAGAGTTATCCCCCTTTGTTTCCTTGCTAGCAGACGACATTTTTAGTGATCCTCAGTATGGATGATTTAGAGAAAAGGAAGTTGATTTTAGATTATTATAACAAAAACATCAGATCAGCTAAAGTGATTTCAAGAAGAACAGGCATCCTTTGTCCACTGTTTATCGTGTTTTGAAAAATATTGCAAATGGATATGGCATTATTGAGCACCAGGGAGGCGCAGGTAGGCCTAGAAAATTGACTGTCGGTGACAGGAGACGGCTTGGTATTCTTGTTTCTAAAAACAAACGAAGGAGTTTAGAAAACTTAAGGCTGGATATGATTGATAGAGGAACTGTGGCTGTAAGGAGACAATTAGAACTGAGCTGCATGCAATGGGTTGGCAGAAAAGTCGAGGAATTCCATCACCGATCATGAAACCTGAACAAAAGGAGCGAAGGTTGAACTGGTGCTTACAGCGTAGAAATTTTAACTGGAACAATGTGATTTTCTCAGATGAAAGTTCTGTGTGGCTGTTTCCTAATGCACTGAAATTCTGGACCAAACAAACCGAAAAACCTTTGTATCAGCGCCCAAAGTACAGTCCGAAATTTAACGTGTGGGGTGGCATTTCTGTGTTAGGGGCCACGCCCCTCTGTGTATTTGAAGGGAATATGAACAGTGAGCGGTACACAGATATTCTCGAGGGACATTTACTTCCATCTGCTCACATGTTCTATGGAAATTTTTGGATTTTCCAGCAGGACAACGACCCAAAACATCGTTCAAAACATTCACAGGCCTGGTTTCGGACCCAAAATATGACATTATTCGATTGGCCAAGCTATAGCCCTGACCTAAATCCACCAATGTTTGGGGACTTATGAAGGAAAGTGTCAATAATAAACATATGACAAATATTGCCGAAATGAAAGAAGAGGAGGTCCGATATTGGGACAGCATGGACCACGACCTTCTAACTTCTTTGATTAGTAGTATGCCCCGCCGCATTGAAGCCTGCATTGCTGCCCATGGTGACTTGACAAAATACTAACTGTTCACCTGTCTTTGAATCTGGAGTTATGTTCTGCTAATATTCACATTTAAAACGTGAGTAATGAGTGAAATGTTTTTTTAAAAATTACAATCTTTAAAGTCTCAATAATTCCTGGTTGTACTGTAATACGAGATGTTCACTTTATATTTCCAATTATATTTCTGAAAAGGGTTTAATAATCACAAATAGGATTTGTTTTATTGAATATGCAAATAAAATGTATAACAAACCCAGCTACATTAAATCACAAAGCGAAACTAGAAAATGACTTTCTCAAACTGAACATACGTGTAACGTTGCTGACATACCCCAAGTGGAATTTTAAATGAATTCGCTGAAAAATATATGAATGACCCCAAAAAATATTCCCAGAGATGTGAAATATATGCCCAATATTAAAGTTGATTAGATACATACAGATATAATATTAAAGATTTATAATTACATTTCCTAACTGACTCAGTTCGTCAGAAATACACTCAGTTGACCAGTGAGAGCTGTTATGTCAACAAACGCACGTGCGTGTATTTGAATCTCTCACCGTCAATCGCATGATTCTTATCAAAAACTTCACATTAGACAGCACAATTCTGTTAGCTACGTCCTTAGTACTTTCAATATGACGATAAATGATTTTTTACCAAAAGTGAACAATAACATAATGCCATAAACGATTTAAGTAGTCGGGATTATTTTTATCAAAGCAACGCAGTCATTTACTCACGTTCTTATTGGTTTGTCGTATTTTCGCACATAACAAGCATCGAGACGGGAACGAGTCTTCTTGGAGGTTATGGAAATGGGCGAGTGGTGACGAATAGGGTACATGTCTTCTTGGTGGTTACGAAAGGGGGTGGGATGGTGGAGGGTGGAGTGGTGACGAATGCTGTTTTTCGGTTACATTATAACCACAGGAGAATAACCGTTGAAGCCATGAGACTACCCAGAGCCTGATTTGCTATAATGCTACCCATTGTTATAGAACCAGGTTTAAGTCAAGATACCACCCAGAGCTAGGTAATTTATAAATCGTTCATTTATATAGCACCTAGCATCCATCTGACTTGTTGCTCACTGGACGCTGTAATCAGAATCTGATTATTATTATTACCCCGGATAACCCAGCTGGCTGTGAGGCGCTAGAAGGTTAATAGTCACATGACTTTGTCTAACCGTGTACTCATTTTCTGCTGGGTAAACAGAGGCAATTTTGAACAAACTCACTTGCCTAAGGTGAGACCACATGTATCACATGTGCTTCGTTGTGGGGTAGGACTGAAGTCCTAGAAACTGTCAGGAGTCAAGCTGCCAAACACTGTCACTTATGCAAGGACACTCCGCGTTCGACGTTGTTCAACTTCAACTGATTTGTGACCTGAGCTCTACGCCACAGCGCCTACGGTAATGACAGCACTAGTGTATTGCAATATACCATATAGTGTTTACCCGTATCTTACCACCTAGCGTTAGGTTACTCGTTATGCTACTACAAGGTTTAATTCACCCCCAGTTGTACCCGGTGTAATCCCAGGATGCAATAACGTAACGGATTATCAACTGTCTGATCACAACGATAGAATTATAGATAAGTACACACTTTATGGATGAACAGCTTCGCCATTCAGGTGATGCGACGTTTCGATACTGATTCTTGTATCGTTGTCAAGCAAGCAAGCACTCAGCAATTTTCCAGCTATATGACGGCTATAATCGACAGACAATCAGCGATCACCATAATGAGCATCGATCTACGCAATTGGGATACAATGACATGTGTCATCCACGTCAGTGAGCCTGACCACCCGATCTCGATAGTTGCCTCTTACGACAAGCATGGGCTGCTGAAGATCACTTCTTACCCGGATCTTCACGAGTAGATGGAATACGAAAACTGGAACGTTTTCATTGTGGAAGACGGGAATCGAATTCACTAGAACACTAGTCAGGCACCCTAACCGTTAGACCACGGAGCTTATTGAAGGTGAAGATTGTAGAATGTTCGTTTTAACAGGTGGCGATAACTAAGATCTGATTCTGTTGAGACTGGTTCAGCGTAAATGTCCTACCGAGAAATATTTTACGAGCGTTTCATTAGACGTCGTATAACACTTTCATGCAAACTTTATTTGCTTCTTGCTTAACGCCGCAATAGCTACATCATGTAAATAATAATTCATCGTAATTATTCGAATCTCTACCAGACAATCCAGTGATCAACAGCACGAGCACCGATCTAGGCAATTGATATGCAATGACAAGTGTCAACCAAGTCAGCGAGCCTGACCACCCGATCCCGTCAGTCGCCTCTTAGGACAAGCATGGGTTGCCGAAGACCAATTCTATCCGGGTCACAATGGACATGTAGCTTCTGTTGACAGAGCAAAGTTACAAATGATAATTCTATAGATTTAACTTTCAGTTTGTGATCATGGATGTGACACAAGGCTATGTTACTAGTCACCCTGTCGGATATTATATAGTTCATAAAATATTATGAATAATTATTTTTTCAGGTTCCCCAACACACACAAATACGACAAACAAGGCAGCGCGCGCACGCACGCACTCACTCACCCAAACACTCACTCACTCACCCACCCAAACACTCACTCATATAAAAAAATGTACTATGATATGTATCAGACCACTACCGGAAGCTCCTGGACCGCAGTGATGACGAGTTAGAGCTGGACACGGCTGATCGCACCTTGGACCCTCCATACCACCCACCAGCGGTGGAGATGCACGACTTGAAGAACAAGAACCGCAGGGCTCGTCTCCATCTGGACATCGACCCACGGTACCGGTCCAGGCAATGCTGCTCCCCTGCTATATGTGCCGTGGCGGTGGCGTCACTCCTCCTGGGGGTTGGGGGTGGGTACCTCGCCGGCATCTTCACGCGGGTGTCTCTACAGGCTGTGATGAAGCCACGCATAGAAGCATTAGGAACATGGCGGACCAAGTTCACAGACTATGGTGAGTTGTATGCATGGTTTAATGGTACTTTATTTACCGAACCGATGACATGTGTCAGCCAAGCCAGCGAGCCTGACCACCCGATCCCGTTAGTCGAATCTTACGACAAGCATGGGTTACTTATTTCCTCATAAGATCAGAATCGGAAAGATTTAAAAGAGAATTTAATAATAAGAAAATGAGAGCTAATTTAGAAAGTTAGGTTTGTTTGTTTTGTGTTGTTTGTTGATTGTTTAACGCCGCTTTCAGAAATATTTGAGCTATATGGCGTCACCAAGCTCTCAAATACACCAACAAATCAACAGGCAAGAAATCGATAATTTCGATGGACATATCCAATGTCTATTTTACCCCTCATATTCCACTAATATATTCTTTTATCAGGCACGGAGTCATGCATCCGTCTGGCAGATGCAGATGGTGACGGGTATGATGACGTCATCATTGGCCTCGCATTCGGAAAGGACGTCAGCTTCATGTTGACCGAAGACACGATGGACCAGTTCTGCAAGGACCAAGGTACGGTCTCATTTTTTTTATAAATCAGCATGACACGGCAGGTATCAGCAGCATCTATGAGTGTTTTGTTTGGTTTGTGTGCTGTTTAACGCCCCACTCAGCAATATTCCGGCTATATGGCGGCTTATGTGTGGCGTAGGGGCGATGGGTTTAACCCAGTGATCGAAATAACTTCTTGGCTGGCTGAGTCTGGCAACTTTCGTGTCGGGCAAAACCCCCGTGTCGGTCTGCCTGAAAAATCCTCCCTTTTGGAAGCTTTGTATGACTAGAATATGTATTTGAGGCGGCTATCGCAAAATTTGTCGCTATTATAATGAAAATGTAATTTTAGATGATAAACCGATAAGGGGAATTGCAAATTTAACAGGCTCTTTTCAAATGTCACAGGCTGGGGATGTGACTGAGTATTTAATTTCATGATTGTTGTTTTTTATTTGCTGAATTTATTCACATTTGAAACAATAATAAATGCAATTTATGAGTCAAAGTGCGGGCAGGCAACTTTCAAGACAGGCAGGCAAAATTTATTGGTCACCTGCCCGACTGTCTGGTTGAGTTTGAAAATTATTTCGATCACTGGTTTAACCTTGCGGTTAAAGCGATTCATCCATTCGTGACCAACTCGTGTTGATTCCCTCGACCGTAGCTTCGGTTTCCCCATATGGGTACAATGTTTCAAGCCCATTTCTCGTGTCCCCTTCGCGTCTCGTGCGGAAACATTGCTAACAGTGGCGTCAAACCATACTCACTCACTCTATGACCAAAGGTATAAATTCCGCTATCCGTGTCGGACAGGATACGCTGGAAGTGAATTCAAATCTCAGTATATTACTGATCATAACCTCGTTAGGATGAGAAAGCCACAATAACTCGGTGCGCCTAGTGGCTGCAAGAGTTGTATACTCCCCAGGGAGTTGAGATTGATAATACGATGTGCCGTTGAGATTGACATCCAAAGATCGAGGGGAAAATACAAGCGCCTTGAGCATGCACTAGTTGCGTGGATATGTGCGCTATATAAATATCCTATAATAATAATAATAATAATCATGACCTTTTCTCCAGTGGATGACCAAATGGTTCAAGACGTCCTCAGCTTCCACATGTGAGTTCGAATCTGGTTCGATCATGCTCCGTGATCCTGGACGACACCAGCGTTCATCACCTTCGTCAACATGGTGTACGGCGACGACTTTTGTCATCTAGTCCCATCTTGTACCAATACACCGCCATGAAACTGTAAAACTGTATAGAGCGTAGTTGGACTCACTCACGTTTCTTTGTTACTTGTACTTCTCCCCACTGTTCTAGGTATGGAGACACCGTGTGCCGGTGCTGTGGTCGCTCTGCGGGGCTACGACGGGAAGCTGTTGTGGCAAGCCAAGACCTATGCTGAAATCTTTGAGCTCAACTGTCACTCCATCGACGTCAACAGGGACGGGGTTAACGACTGCATAGCCACGGGACGACTTGGCGACATCAGAGCCATCAATATCAGAAATGGTAAAATACTGCTACTGAAACTTGATTTTTAGTCTAAAAGAGAAATTTCGTAACTATACATATTTAGTGTGATGCCAGAAATATTAATTTGCTGCTGCTATTACTACTACTGCTACTACTACCACCACTACTTCTACTACTACTACTAGTACTGATGCTGCTACTCCTTCGTGGTACTACATACAATACATGGCACTACAATATATCGAAGAAAGGCAATGCAAGTCTAGCGATTACCGCAGTTTCCGAAAATAAAGAAACTACTACTACTACTATTACTACTACTGCTTTACTACTACTACTACTATTTCTACTACTACTATTATTATTACTACTACTGCTTTACTACTACTACTACTACTATTTCTACTACTACTACTACTATTATTACTACTACTGCTTTACTACTACTACTACTATTTCTACTACTATTATTATTTCTACCACTACTACTATTATTATTACTACTACTGCTTTACTACTACTACTACTACTATTTCTACTACTATTATTATTACTACTACTACTACTACTACTACTACTACTATTTCTACTTCTATTATTATTTCTACCACTACTACTACTACTACTACTACTATTTCTACTACTACTATTATTATTATTACTACTGCTTTACTACTACTACTACTACTATTTCTACTACTATTATTATTTCTACCACTACTACTATTATTATTACTACTACTGCTTTACTACTACTACTATTTCTACTACTATTATTATTTCTACCTTTACTACTACTACTACTACTACTGCCGCTGTTGCTCCTACTGCTACTTCTTCATTAATGTCTTGCTATTATTATGTGTATTATCGATATCCATAATTTAAAACATTTTCTTTCAACTGATACAATTATAAAATCATCAAAAAGGGTCTTCATAGACATTTTATGGCGCTTCAACCAATCATGCTCTTTAGTTGAACAGGATAACCGAGAATAAGATCTTTGTAAATGAGATTACAACCTTGGTTACATGTTTCGTTCTATCAACACGTAAACTATGTTAAACCGTTCTCCATTTCTGGCTTTAATGAGCATATTCTCTTTTTCTGCTGTATATTCTACTTCTTTAGGAACTATCTTATTGACGGCTTCACAGGATCAATAGATACCCGTATATATGGCGACTAATACCGTGTATACCACGGTCTTTTTGTGGAATAAAATCGACATGATTTATGAAATATAATTGTCAAATATAGTCAAAATTTTGTATTCACTGCCAAATTATCTTTTATGACCAGCGATCATCCCGTTTATCAGATAGACATGTCTTATTAAAGCTTACCTTATTTGTACTGCAGGTGAGATTATGTGGGCCAGTGACGGTAACAACTTCAACCGCGGATGGAACATCTACCACTCGGTCGCTCTGCCTGACTTTGATTTCGATGGTGTACCGGAAATTGCCATTGCGCATGGCGGAGATCCAACTGTAGCGGCTGAGGTTACTAGCTTGTATCATTTTAAATCTAGACTAATGCCTATATAATCAAGATGACTGCTTGTGCATAATTCAAGTTTATTGACGTATCTGACTCGTTAACGAATGCCTTCGGATAGCGAAGTTGTTTAAGCGTTTGCTCGTCGCGCCGAAGGCCCGGGTTCGATTCCACACATGAGTACATTGTTTGAAGCATATAACTAGTGTCTCCGTGGCAGTGCTGGAATACTGCATAAAAAGGCGTAAAACACTCTCTTTCAATCACTACCGATAAGCCGAGGTTACTATGCTTTAAACCGAACTTTTCGTCTCATGGTTAAGTCCCTTACACTGTCTTGAGAGTGGGTTTAACTTGTTGGTAAAAATCTCCAGGTACTTTGCAGTCAGACTAGTGCACTTGTTTTTTCAAAACTTTGATGCGGAGAGTTAAAGGTGGACCCATCTATTTGGCATTGGAGCGTCACTAATTTCTGTATTAGCTCTGGTTATCCATACTGTGAGTGGATAACATTATGAAATTTTTTCACCTGACAATAAAAAACAACAACAAAAACCAAAAACAAAGAACAAAGAAGAAGAAACAAACAGGAATAATCCATAGATTCCCTGTATCGAGAATATCACAGTTAAAGCTATGAACCATGACCTAGTAAGAATTCGCAGTCGGGTAAAGTTTCCAGGGGACAGAATTGCGGTATTATTGATATTATTATTATCTAACGACTATTGTTGGTTATCTGTTCCTCATAGCCGCCATGTTTTCCTTTCAGGTCCATACGAGGCACGCTGGTTGGCTGATGATGTTGTCGGGGGCAACAGGACAACCAATCGGACGTCCGCTAGAAATGCCCGAGAACAAGGAGACCTACTGTGCACCTGTTCTTCACACGTTACGAGACGGATCCCAGTACATCTTGTACGGGAGCGGAGGCGAAACCGTGGGAGGTTGGTTGAACGATAGTCAAATCAACCAAAAGAGGAAATAATAATTAATCTTAATGAGCTTATTTGAAACCATGACGAATAGTAATGTTTCCTAATATGAATATATGTTAATACGTTTATAGCAATATTCCAGCAATATCACGGCTGTCGACACCGGAAATGGGTCTGTACACATTGTACCCATGTGGGGAATAAAACTCGGAACTTCGGCGTAACGACCGAACACTTTAACCACCAGGCTACCCCACCGCTCCTTCCTAGTATGGAAACACAGGCATTAAGTGTGTTTGCGTTCCTATTTTCGTCCAGGTTCTCGTATATTCATCTTAGATGTTGACATGGTCGGCTTTCATGATGCCTCTGCCAAACTTCCTAATGCGTTGGTTGTTGGATGTTAACAAACCAGACAAAAGAAAGTAAACAGACATCTTTTATAGTGGCCTAAAATGAAATCGTTATGGACGGTGATATATCTGAGACAGGATTGACAGGTGCGTGTAAACCTTTCGCATATAACAGGCAGGCAAAAGAAATGAGCACACCTTGGTTTATCGTAGCTTCTTAACGGGGCGGTGGGGTAGCCTAGTGGTTAAGCCTTTACTCGTTAGTCGTTACACTGAAGACCTGGGGTCGATTCCTCACAATGTGTGAAGCCAATTTCTGGTGTTCCCCGCCGTGATATTGCTGGAATATTGCTATAAGCGGTGTACCACCAAACTCACTCACTGACGAAATATGAACCAATAATAAGTTGCTTATTACAATACTTATATATCCTAAATTACTCCATCTCTTGTCCTGGCACCCTACAATTATGTAGCTTAGTGATGGAGACTCGATTCACTTTTTGTCTGTCTCCGCCACGATATGGCTGGGCTATCGCTAAACCGGCGTAAAACCCAACTCACTCACTCACTCTAAGGTTAACACAGACAATAGAAGTGGAAGTGCAGATAATTCCTGAAAATATACGAGTGAGTGACTTTAGTTTTACGCCGCTTTTAGCAATATTCCAGCAATATCACGGCGGGGGACACCAAACTGGACTTCACACATTGTACCCGTGTGGGGAATCAAACCCAGGTCTTCGGCGTGAACGAGCGAACGCTTTAACCACGCTGCTCCACTGCCCCTGAAAATATAAGCTGTGGAAGGAGGGTTTATGTAACGACAGGATCCGGACTACAACTTTCCTGTACATGAACGAAACCCTCTCAGACACTAAATATTCATGTCATCTGAAAATTTTCAGGTTTGTTTCTGGCTATATCGGTCCCTGACTTCTACCGGTATGTGCAGAAATACCCACGTGAACAGCTCGTGCCCAACGTCATAGGAGAGTACTCACAATGGGGAGCGAGGAATGCAGGGGATGACGGTGTAATTGAAATATTCAGGTGCCAGATTATTTTATTTTGTGTTTTTACCTGTGTGTGAATTATATACAACAAAACTCCGTTAACCCGGACGGTGTTGTTGCCACTGAAATTGTCCGAATTAGCAAGTGTCCGTATTTCCGAATAATTGTTCTGGTAATACAGAAATGGGCCCCTCCACTGACCGCCCAGATTATGGGGTTTCCGGTTACACAGGTTTCTGGTTAACGAGATGTCAGTGTGACCTGCTTGTGATTCCTGCTTCTTTATCTTAGCCCACTTCCCAAAATACTACCCAGTGATTGACAGCATGAGCATCGATCTACGCAATTGGGATACGATGACATGTGTCATCCACGTCAGCGAGTCTGACCACCCGATCCCGTTTATCGCCTCTTGCGTTGCTGAAACATGGGTTCTAACCAGGATTTTCACGTGTGTGTGTGTGTCTGTGCGTGCGTGTGTATGTGTGACAGAACTTGTCGAAAGTCTCCAGCATGGATCAAGATAATTGCCGCACAATTTATCAAATATTCAGTAGTGTTGGGAATTGGTTAAAATCTCATAATTGATGATTGGTCCATTACAACCGATCAGTCGTCGAAAATAATTGTTTAGCGTCATTTAGCAAATGTTCCTGTTATCCTTGTTAATGCACACACACACAAAATAAAAAAAATAAAGAAAAAACATGTAGTTCTTTGGGGTGTTGCAAACTGCACAAAATGCAATTGCAAATATCACATCTTTAAGGGATGACTAGTATGTTAACAACATAAATTTCCTGGAGTCTTTAAGATAAATTCAGTCATGACATGGAACGAGCTTGTATTGCTTATGAAATGTAAATTTAATGACTCAGACAAAACCAACCTTGAGAAAAATATTGTTGATGCAAACAAGTGTTCCAAACTTGTTTGTGTTCGATTATGAGAAAACATGATCGATTGCTTGGCGCGTTTAGTCACTGTGACCAATCTTTGATTACAGTATTTTAATTAATCGGACCGCCACTGATGTTCACATAAAAAAAAGGTTTAATCCATTTTGTAAAATGTTGGAATGGTTTCAGGTCGCCTGACAAAGGCGTGATGGTCCCTCCAGTGCTGATAGACATGACAGGCGACGGGGTCAAGGACATTCTCATGTCGGCCTTTGACGGCACCGTGATTTTGTTTGACGGCGAGACGTTAGAAAATCTGTGGAAGATAAAATTTAATGGACGAGAGTCTTACAGGTAATCCGAGTGCATCATGAATCTTAAAGAAATCTTAGAAGCTACACGGGAGATATCCGACTTGTTGAAATATTTGCCGTTGGAATTTCAATTTTTCACGTCCCCATTTCAATGGAGTTTTCCTTGAGCATAAGAAATCTAAAGCCTCTAGTTGAAATATACCATTTAAACTGCACCATATAACAGATACATGGACATATCCTAATATGGAAATGATTTAAACGCAAATGAAAACGATAAAACCTTTTCTTTTTCCATACAATATTTTAAAAAGATTAGTGTTGTTCAATTTCGACCATTTCCGAGATCGAAATTTTCTCTGAATGTTCTTCATACTCATGCTGTTGATCACTGGATTGTCTGGTTCAGACTCGATTGTTTACAGACCGCCACCATATAGCTGGAATATTGCTGAGTGCGGCGTATATCTAAACTCACTCACTCTACTGTGGTTTTTCATATTTACACTCATACTGATATGTAAAGTTGGTTTTGAAGTGGACAGGAGCTGAGTATCTTGTCTTAATAAAAGTTCCCAGCGCATTCCCTCCACACCCACTTCCATTCCCCGTCCCCTAATATTCCACTGACAGTCCTTCAACATGAGTTTATGAATCACTATCAAAGGGTGAATATACTAGGAACCATTGCCGTCCTCATCGAGGGCACACGTTAAATTCAGAATTGGGGTTTTTGAAATCACAACTCTATCGATTGGCGGACACAGTTGCTATAAATTATAGTGCATTCATGACACGACTGATCAACCATTTCTCTTTGTGTTTATGGGCGGTGGGTAGCCTAGTGGCCGTCACGATTTCCCTTATCAGTACAATGTGTAAAGTCTATTTCTGGTGTTCCCTGTGTGATGTTGTGCTGGAATGTTGCTAACTGCGGCGTAAAACTAAACTCACTGTCTGTTTTATTATCTACAGTACACCCGCACCGGGACATTTTAATGACGATGACGTCATGGATTTTATGGTTCACTGGAGCAAGGGGGCGTGGCCGTACTACAACACAACCGATGTAAGTAGAACTCTGACATGTACTAGATGGCATTGTAAACCTGTGGCCATTCCGGAATTTGGTTGTGTGGCACTCACTCTGGTCAACACTCATTTAACATCGTATTTTAGCTTGGCACAACTCACTCGCTCACTGGAACCCACCCACCCACCCGTCCACCCACTCACTCACTCTGGTCAACACTCGTTTAGTTTTGGATTTTAGCATGGCACAACTCACTCACTCACTCACTCGCTCACTGGAACTCACCCACCCGTCCACCCGCTCACTCACTCTGGTCAACACTCTTTTAGTTTTGCATTTTAGCTTGGCACAACTCACTCACTCGCTCACTGGAACTCACTCACTCAGGTCAACACTCGTTTAGTTTTGGATTTTAGCTTGGCATAACTCACTCACTGGAACTCACTCACCCGTCCACCCTCTCACTCACTCTGGTCAACACTCACTTTATTTTGGAATTGGCTTTAACATCATTCACTCACTCACTCGAACCGCCTTCCACCCTACCGCTTGCTCACTCTGGTCCACACTCACTTGTCAGCTTGGACATAACCTTTTAAGGTGTCCTCCCATTACGCAGACAGCCAGTTCGCAGACACCTTAAAACAACAACATTTACGGTTCAATGAACAGATTAGCAACCACCTGTTACCTACACATTATAATGGAATAGTCCACATAAAAACACAAGAAAAAAATGTAATATTTATTTGATAACAAGAATATAATATTTTATAAGAATATAATAGCTTCAAGTAGATATATCCTTTACATAGCAAAACTTTTATCTGTCTTTATAGATCTAATTTATGCTTAGTTATAGCAAGTCCATTAAAGTTTGTGTCTTGTTAGACCAAGTTTTATGAGGTTGGCCACCGCATCTAGGAACTGAAGAGAGTTTTCTCGCCGCGACTCAGTGTGTCTTTGAGCCTCAGGATCCTGTTGTCGATCTCTCTGTAGACTCGCTTGCGACTTGGAGGAGCCCCAAAGTCGAGTTGTCTCAAGCTTGGCTCTGTCAGCCATCTCTATCCTCCGAATTACTTCCACAAAGCAAATTATATTGGGGTGGTGGTGTGGAAGGGATCTGTTCGTCCGACTATGAAAACCTTCCAAGTTGTTGTTGGTCCTTGGTCCTACAGTGTTGTGATGGTTCCAAAGTGACAGTGGGAATCGGGCGTCATAGTCCACCCATGTGACGACCATGTAATCCTTGAAGTCCTCAATGCGGTCAGAGGCTGGGGAGGAGTCCATGGCATCAATCCAGGTGTCTTGAACCTGATCTTGAGGTAATAAGGCAAGGGCAGCTGCTCTCCTGATGAACTCCTTTACTGCTGGATCCTCCTTGTATGCAACTGTGAGACCTAGATCTTGTGTCTTCCTCCACAGGGTTTGGGAGAAGTGGAAGAAGCATCCCTTGGTCTCGTGCATTAGGAATTTCCGTCCCGATGGCTCGGATGGTGCACGCCCAAAATCTGTCTGTATTTTTGCTGGGGCCAGGGGACGATTCAGCTCCTCCATCACCTTCTCCTTGAGGAGGCGGAACAGTCTAACGTAGGTGGTGGTTTGACGATCAGGCAGAAGGGCTAAGACTAAGGCGTATGACACAGAGTTGCAACGGGCATGAATTATGTAAACCTGATCCCAAAGCTCAGGGAAGGCGGTGAAAGTTCCACCCATGTAGATGGTATCGGCTGTCTGCAGCACCTGGACCTGTTCAGTGGTAGAGAACACCAGAATCTTGTCTTGTTCTCCATCACAAAGAAGAAGAAAACGACGTCCATCACTTGTCTCTGTCTGACCTTATTTCTGGTGTAAACATAACCATCCAGAAGAATATGAGGGGCCCCTCTCTGTGACATCAGATGCCATATTGATAACGAACAGATATGTTTTGCAACATTTTTTATATTTGTTGAGTCAAATTTCAAATTAGTCTATTGATAAAATTAATTAATTAATCCTTGTTTTAAACAACAGGTTTAAAAGTCTCTTAAGATCTTTCCTCATACAAAGATCAATTGATACTAAAAACAAAGTGAGAAGAGAAGACAGATTATCATTAACCGGCTACCAAGTTCTGTATAAACACAGTGACAAACCTCTATTCGATAGTAATTGATAGTAAAAACAATTTCGAGAAGAGAAAACAGATTATCATTTAATCACAACAAAGTTTTATTTACACACAACCAAACCAAGCTTCTTAATAACGAATCTGTTACAAGCTCAGCCTCCTCCACTCACTAGACAGTGGACTGTTCCATTATACCCGTAGGTGTTACCCTAATTAACCTTCTTGCTCAGTGTCTGCCAACTGGGTGTCTGTCAAATGGGTGTCTGTCAAATGGGAGATAACCCCTTTTAACACTGTTAAATGGCTGCGTCCATAGCAACCATGATTGTTATCAAACAGATTTGCACGATACACAATTTATGACACTTGAGGACATGAATTCAGTACAGTCGGGGTCAAAGAATAATAAGGAACAAATCACCACGATGCTATCTTTCAAAACCAACAAGTACGAGGACGGTTGACCTAGCAACGGCGTGCAGTTGGTCTACAGGCCCGGCCTGAAGTTAAACGAACTCACTTGAACACTCTCTAAATTATAGCTTGTTCTGTTTGAATACGTGTGGACGGTCCTGGTGATAAGTTAGGCTTTCAGTCTGACAAACAAACTCTTGACCTCAGGGTCCAGGTAACGGTCGTGACCAGTCAGTTGGAAGTGTCGATAATGGATTGTTTTGTTCTGGTAAGTTGTCATGTGACTCTAGGAGACATGAGACCCAGGATACACACTGACGAAATAGGGGCGGTGGGGTAGCCTAGTGGTTAAATCGTTCGCTCGTCACGCTGAAGATCCGGGTTCGATTTCCCACTTGGGTACAATATGTGAAGCCGATTTCTGGTGTCCCCCGCCGTGATATTGCTGGAATATTGCTAAAAGCGGCGTAAACTGACTCACTGACGAAATATGAACCAATAATAACTTACTTATTAATACTTATGTGTCCAAAATTGCTACATCTCTTGTCCTGGCCCATACAAAAACCTGATCCTAAAAAGAGACTAACTGAATCACTTGTCTCAGTGACTTGGTTGAGAGCGTGCCATCGTACCAAGAAGGCGTGGCTTGTCGCTCATGACATTAATCACTGGTTTTTATAAGATTAATAAAGTCCACTGTTCATTCAAATGATGAAGGAATGGGGCGCTAGGGTAGCTTAGTGGTTGAAGCGTTCGCTTGTGACGCGAAAGACCCGGGTTCTATTCCCCACATGGGTACCCCGCCGTGATATTGCTGGAATATTGCTAAAAGCTCACATACTCACTCACCCCATGATGAAGGAATAAGCACATACTCCGAAACGGAAATTTCCATCAGTTATCTCCCTTTTTGAGTCTATATACTCAAGTTAATTTCTGTGGGTCATTATTAGATGATTGATAATTAACAATATTCCAGCAATATTACAGCGGGAGACACCAGAAATGGATTCATATATTTTATCCACGTTAGGAATGGAACCCGGCGTGACGAGTGAACGCTTTAACCACTTGGCTACCTTACCGACCTGTCCGGAATAACGGGTGTCAAATTAGCGAGGTTTCGGAGTTTATGGACGTCAGTTGCGAAGATCATGAAATTTCCTTCCAGATAGTCGTGCTTGATGGCCGTGATGGTTCCGTGCTGTGGAATATGACCACCAACAAGTATGACGTCAGCTCAGATTTGGTGGCTCGTACATCGACCAGAAACAGAGACGTGTTTTTGTTCCGCACCCAGGGGCGAAGAGGAGTTGATCCCCGGGGGACTGGCGCCATACACGGGGCTACAGGGATACAGAGAGTGGTAAGGTGACATGTGTAAGGAGCAAATGTTTGAGTGAGTGAGTTTGGAAAGTTATGTCATAGCATCATGACGTTAGTGAGTGAGTTTAGTATTACGCCGCACTCAGCAATATTCCAGCTATATGGCGGCGGTCTGGACCAGACAATCCAGTGATCAACATCAGAAGCATCAGTGAGTTGGGTTTTACGCCGCTTTCCTTATATTCCAGCAATATCCCGGGGACACCAAAAATGGGCTTCACACATTGTACCCATGAGGGAAACTCTCTCACTCACTATTAATTTGTATTGACACTTATCTCTATTATAGGGACGGTGGGGTACCAAGTGGTTAAAGCGTTCGTTCGTCACGCCGAAGACCCGGGTTCGATTCCCCACATGGGTACAATGTGTGAAGCACATTTCTGGTGTCCCCCGCCGTGAGATTGCTGGAATATTGCTAAAAGCGGCGTAAAACCAAACTTAGTCAGTATCTCAATTGTACTATGTTCGGTCGCTTACCTCCTCTATGCAGCAATAACGTGATTGTTGGTGTGTCCGGCAACACTATGGTAATGACCTGTACGGTCGGTGGGTTCAAGTGTACACAGGCTTCAAATGTACCACGACATGAATTCCTTACAACTGATGTTGTATGCAGTCCACAGCTCGGCGTCCATTTCACCCTGTCTTCTCTCGCCAAACGTACATTGGGCTGTCTGATCTTGTGTTTCACAAGACTTAGCCCGACCTCGTTTTGCGCGTTATTGAACGTGTAACAAGTAAAAATATGTTTCGTCTTGACAAAGACGACCAGGGTATCGGGAGTGCAAATGTCTGATCTTGTGTTTCAATAGGACAGAAATATCTCTATGAAACAGCATTTTGTCACTCTTTACAGAGAGTTGATTGAATTGATTACACTTTCTTTCATAAACATGATAACATAGAGCACTGGATGTGAAAAGTGGTCTGTTGAAACACTAAGCCAATATTAACCTGATACCTAATCACTGGGTGCATGTGGCAAATATATGTACAGCACCCAAAACCAGACACAGATGATAAACACATGTCAGCTTAATACCCTGGACACTATATCAGACACAGATGATAAACACATGTCAGCTTAATACCTTGGACACTATGTCAGACACAGATGGTACACGCATGTCAGCTTAATACCTTGGACACTATATCAGACACAGCTGATACACACATGTCAGCTTAATACCTTGTACACTATATCAGACACAGATGATAAACACATGCCCGCTTAATACCTTGGACACTATATCAGACACAGATGATAAACACATGTCAGCTTAATACCTTGGTCACTATATCAGACACAGATGATAAACGCATGTCAGCTTAATGCCTTGGACACTATATTAGACACAGATGATAAACACATGTCAGCTTAATACCTCGGACACTATATCAGACACAGATGATAAACACATGCCAGCGTAATACCTTGGACACTATATCAGACACAGATGATAAACACATGCCAGCTTAATACCTTGGACACTATATCAGACACCGAAGATAAACACATGTCAGCGTAATACCTTAGACACTATATCAGACACAGATGATAAACACATGTCAGCTTAATACCTTGGACACTATATCAGACACAGATGATAAACACATGTCAGCTTAACACCTTGGACACTTTATCAGACACAGAGATGATAAACACATGTCAGCTTAATACCTCGGACACTATATCAGACACAAATGATAAACACATGCCAGCTTAATACCTTGGACACTATATCAGACACAGATGATAAACACATGTCAGATTAATACCTTAGACACTATACCAGACACAGATGATAAATACATGTCAGCGTAATACCTTGGACACTATATCAGACACAGATATTAAACACATGCCAGCTTAATACCTTGGACGTTATATCGGACACAGATGATAAACACATGCCAGCTAAATACCTTGGACACTATATCACACACAGATGATACACATGTCATCTTAATACCTTGGACACTATATCAGACACAGATGATAAACACATGTCATCTTAATACCTTGGACACTATATCAGACACAGATGATACACACATGTCATCTTAATACCTTAGACACTATATCAGACACAGATGATAAATACATGTCAGCTTAATACCTTGGACACTATATCAGACACAGATGATAAACACATGTCAGCTTAATACCTCGGACACTATATCAGACACAGATGATAAACACATGTCAGCTAAATACCTTGGACACTATATCAGACACAGATGATACACATGTCATCTTAATATCTTGGACACTATATCAGACACAGATGATAAACACATGCCAGCTTAATACCTTGGACGTTATATCGGACACAGATGATAAACACATGTCAGCTAAATACCTTGGACACTATATCAGACACAGATGATACACATGTCATCTGAATACCTTGGACACTATATCAGACACATATGATAAACACATGCCAGCTTAATACCTTGGACGTTATATCAGACACAGATGATAAACACATGTCAGCTTAATACCTTGGACACTATATCAGACACAGATGGTACACACATGTCAGCTTAATACCTTGTACACTATATCAGACACAGATGATAAACACATGCCAGCTTAATACCCTGGACACTATATCAGACACAGATGATAAACACATGTCAGCTTAATACCTTGGACACTATATCAGACACAGAGATGATAAACACATGTCAGCTTAATACCTTGGACACTATATCAGACACAGATGATACACACATGCCAGCTTAATACCTTGTACACTATATCAGACACAGATGATACACACATGCCAGCTTAATACCTTGGACACTATACCAGACACAGATGATAAACACATGTCAGCTTAATACCTTTGACACTATATCAGACACAGATGATACACACATGCCAGCTTAATACCTTTGGCACCAAATCAGACACAGATGATAAACACATGCCAGCTTAATACCTTGGACACTATATCAGACACAAATGATAAACACATGTCAGCTTAATACCTTGGACACTATATCAGACACAGATGATACACACATGTCAGCTTAATACCTTGGACACAATATCAGTATAAAATCCATCTTAGATATAGCTCATGATGTCAATCACTGGCTACAACGATTACTAGGTGCACTCAGTCATTCACTGGTCCATCTTGGACGTGCTGAAACTCCTGGTAAATGTTCAGAAACACGCCAGTCAGTTCCTTGGAAACAAATGAGTGATTGAGTGACTGAATGAGTTGGATTTGGACGTAATTCGGTTATATCAGTACGAATAACGTAGAAGTGGGGCGAAAGCCAGATGTGTGACGTGTAGTGTCGTGGCGAGACGTGGCGTGGGGCGGAGAGGAGCGGAGAGTCGTGAGGTGGCGTGTTGTGGTATGGCTGTGGTATGGATAGGCGTGTTGTGGCGTAGAGAGGAGCGGAGAGTCGTGGTATAGAGGGTGATTCGTGGTGTAGAGTAGAGTGGAGAGGAGCAGGGAGAGGAGAGGAGGGCGGTGAGGTGGTATGGATCGGCGCGTCGTGGCGCGGCGAGGAGTGGAGTAGAGAGTCGTGAGGTGAGGTGTTGTGGTATGGCTGTGGTATGGATCGGCGTGTTGTGGCGTAGAGAGGAGCGGCGTGGCGAGGTATAGAGCGTGATTAGTGGAGTAGAGTAGAGTGGATCGGCGCGTCATGGCGTGGCGAGGAGAGGAACGGAGAGGAGTGGTGTGGAGCTGAGTGGAGTGGAGTGGAGTGGAGTGGAGTGGAGTGGAGTGGAGTGGAGTGGAGTGGAGTGGAGTGGAGTGGAGTGGAGTGGAGTGGAGTGCTAAGCTGCCTCGTTTCAGTGCAGGAAATGTGTTTGCAGCCAAAACAGGACCGTAAGACATCTGATCTTAAAACTATAAATATTATCAAAACCAATGCAATAAAGTATACATTTTGTTGTCAGATTTGAGCATAAATGTTAATCTCCGCCACAGATAAACAGAAGATCCCTAAATGGCGACTCTGAGCTCTATGAACAGGAAGTGCGTTCAGATTCCACCCTGGACGGAGCTCTACTTCCGGAACATCACTTCCGGGACATGCGCTCAGTGGATGAGGACTACATTGAGTGTGAATCGGACCAAACAGTTTACATCGCTGAATCATTTGCCATGGACAGAACAACAATGAAACGCCCTCTTAAACTCTGGGAGTTTAGTTCTCAAAGATATTATTATAGTACGTATGGGTTTCAATGTCTGACATCAATACTTTCCGGAAGGGGTTGGCGGCTAGTTAGCAAAGGCTTCCTGATGTTCCTGGGGAGAGTGTGTAGTTGTATTATTTCTATAAAACATTATTCTAAAGAAAATACTGAAAACAAATACTGACGTTAATGATATCCAGATAAACCGTCACGTTTTATCTGTAGTAGCCTAGAAGCTAAACCGCCTGCTCGTCAACTGGAATACCCGCGTTTAATTTATATATACAATTCGCTTGATTTATATATACAACGTGACTTTAATCTTTTAAATGAAATCCAATAATTTATATCCCAACCGGCATGTCGTAAACCATATGTTGTCAATGTTATCTATACACGGTTAGACGTGTTTGACCTTGACATTTACCTTGCAGAACTAACAGATCTGGACAAACAACTGGTAGATGAGGTCATCAAGAAATATGGGGAAAACTTCACAGCCACTGAGAACGAGGTCCCCTGGTCTCGTGGAAAACGAGAGGCCAATGATACATCAAATACTCCACATTGTATTCTAATCCAACCTGACGAGAGAACGACAGGTAAACGTCATTAAATAATGTAATACAGCGCGAAAGCTGTTTTGAAAAGTTATTAAAAGTGATTAAAACGAAACATTTTAGGCAGATTAAGTAGTTTAAACATTTGTTGGCAAATACTGAATGGATACAACAATTTTTTTTCTTGAATGGATACAACATGCTGCCTAAGCGAGATAAAGCTGTGCATAAACATCTCAGGTTCACGAACAGGAACGGCTGTCATATATACTCATGGAAACAAATAAAGGAACACGTGAAAGTACAAGTGTCCCTTTATTCTTTTCCAGGTTTCTTCACACGGTATGTATTGGACAGTGGGGAAATTCTGGAAATAGATAAAGGAACACTTGTACTTTCATGTGTTCCCTTATTTGTTTCCATGAGTATATTCTCACCCGGACTACGATCTACTTCCAGAACATGATTTCCGGGATATTCTCTCTGTCTTTCATCAACAATTTGTTAATACTTGTATTATACATGGTTTCATTAATTGAAAGACCGTCATGTTGCTTTCATCATCATCATCGTCGTCATCATCTATATTAATGCATTTTCACTCTAGGAGCGGTCGGTGACGTGGACGGCGACGGTAAACTCGATCTCATCATAAACGTCGTGTCTGTTGGAGTTCTTCGCGACGACTACGCCAGATTTGTGAAGATGAAATTTAACGTGGATATCTTCAAGGTCACCCTGAATGACCTTATAGACCAGGAATTGTATACCCCGATTAATGCCACAATGCATGACAAAATGAAGATGCTGAACAATGAAAATTCAATAACGTCATTGACGTTCTTGCAGAAGGAGCGTCAAACATGGGGAGGGTATCTTGGAACGCTTGGGGACAGTATTTTCAGAGATGGTGACTGAGAATCTGCGGATGCACATACCAAATAGTGACACCATTCTTACTTCCAGTAATGTTGAGAAAAACAAATGCTTCCCTGTTACAAACCTGACAAGAAATGACGTGCGCGTTGTTTTCACCCGCAGAGTGAGTGAGTATGATTTTGCGCCGCTTTAAGCAATATTGCAGCAATATCACGGCAGGGGACACCAGACATGGTCTTCACATATTGTACCCATGTGGGGATTCGAACCCGGGTCTTCGGCGTGACGAGCGGACGCTTTAACCAACCACCAGGCTACCCCACCGCCCCGAACCCGCAGAGTGAGTGAGTGAGTGAGTATGGGTTTACGCGACTTTTAGCAATACTCCAGCTATATCACGGTGGGGGACACCAGACATGGGCTTCACACATTGTACCCATGTGGGAAATCGAACCCGGGTCTTCGGTGTGACGAACGAACGCTTTAACCACTACGCTACCCCACCGCCCCAGATCCCGCAGATGTCAGTGGTAGACTTTATAGAAATCCAGATGAGTGATGACTGGCTATTTCATGGAGTTGTATAGTTTAATTTGAGTTTGTAGTTTTATGATTTGTTTGCTTGTTGTTTAACGCCGTTCAGCAATATTACAGCTATATGGTGGCGGTCTGTAAATATTAGAGTCTGGATCAGACAATCCAGTGATCAACAGCATGAGCATCGATCTGCGCAATTGGGATACGATGACATGTGTCAGCCAAGTCAGCAAGCCTGGCCAGCCGATCCCGTTAGTCGCCTCTTACGACAAGCATAGGTTGCTGAAGACCAGTTCTATCAATAGCCATGTTTGCAGTGTATGCCAAATTGAATCTGTTTCGTCGAATAAACGCACAGCAGTATATTTGTTTCTCTCCTCTATATCGGAATTGATGCCAAATGACCACTAGTAAAATTCATGTGACACACGTGATCTCTTTAATACAGGTGAGGTGAAATGGGGTTTAAAAGAGTGAGTGAGTATGGTTTTACTCCGCTTTTAGCAATATTCCAGCAATATCTCGGCGGGGGGAAACCAGAAATGGGCTCCACAATTTATACCCATGTGGGGGATTCGAACCCGGGACGAGCGAACGCTTTAACCATTAGGCTACCCCACGGTACATGTGACACAAAATATGTTATAATTGTTGGATTCTATACAAAACACGCTTTGGAAGACGTATGTCCTTATAGTGATAGTGTAGTTTAATAAGTTAACAAGACATCTGTACAATCGAAGTAATGTGGGACTAGTGAAATATATACTAGGCGTCATTAATCAAGGGTCAAATGATATATAGCACTTGTAAAGATTTGTTTTTCTTAGAAATAATAGGTCTAAGAGCGTCATCATAATGTTTAATGTGTTGACAAACGTGACACATAGTGACAAAAAGTTTAAACAGCTCGAGCAAACATCTGTTGTATAGACCAATCCCCCAAAATGAAAAATGACAAACATAAAGCACTCGGTCATTCAATATCTTGTGTGTACCCTCCCCGCGCGTCCAAGATACAGGTACACCTTGTTCTTATGCTCCATATCACGTTCATAAAGAAACCTTGCGGAATGGCATTCCATTCCTCTACTAGAGCTCTGCGCAGTCCTGGAGATCAACTGGTGCTGGTTGACGCGTGTACACACGTCGACCGAGTTCATCCCAGGCATGCTCAATTGGGCTGTGGTCTGGCGAGCATGCTAGCCACTCCAACCGCTCTACACCCTGTGGCCTAAGGAATTCCGTCACAATCCTGGCACTATGAGGAATAGCATTGTTGTCTTGCAGTCAAGAGGGTCGACCATAAAATCCATGCATAGCTTGCAAGGAATGGTACTGCTATAGGAGCCAGAATCTCGTCCCGATAACGCTGCCCGGTAAGAATACCATCGGCCACGTGCAGTGGAGTACGTCCAGTAGGAGTTATCCCTGACCAAACCATGATCGGACAAACACCCCCCCCCCCCTTCCCCCACCCCAAATTGGTTATGCGTGGCCACGGTTGCATCTGTGATTCGCTCTCCATTGCGACGATACATCCTCTGCCCACCATCATGGAAAGAGGAATTGAATCTGCTTTCATCTGTGAAGAGCACACGGGACCATTGACCTTGATTCCTGCGGCCATGATGTCTACTCCATCTCAAACCCGCCTGTCTGTGACGTGGTGTTCGTGGTGGACGAACTGTTGTCGCCTACAGCAGAGTCCGGCTGCCCTTAAACGCCGACAAACGGTGCTCCTGGATATCCTTACATTTTTAACATTGAAGTGTTCTGTCTGAAGATCTGTTAACATGTGTCTATCATCTGGGACTGTTGTAACTCTGGGGCGACCTGGTCGACGTGCATATTCCACGGACCCATTGGTTTGAAATCTCTGCCACAGCCTACGAATAGCACTCTGACTCACATTAAAGCGGACAGCAACCTGCCTCTGAGTTTGACCAGATTACAAAAGGCTTTTAGTCTGACCCCTTTCAGCAAGTGTCAAAAAACGTCTCATTTTAAGCTGTGATTTCAAACAGGTGCCTGAACAGTGAACGACAGTGAAAACGCATCAATGCATGTGTATTGTCCTCAACTCAACTTTCCATGGTAAAAGAATGTATCGGACGTTAAAGAACGCAATAATGACATTTCAACGGCCTGATGTGTTTTTCCATACTGTTAAGAAAGTTTGTAAAACATTCAGTTTCATACATTTCAAACAAAAACGAAGATTTTACAACTTTTAAGAAATAGTGTTACCAATAGCTTGACCATTCAGTAATGACGCCGACTCTGTTGCCCGTATTATTAAATATATTATGTAACATAAGTAAACATATTTGCTTATTTCAGTAATTATTTGTATTATTCGTATATTCGAATTACATGAATATTACGGTAAAACATAATTAGGAAATATTTTATATAAAACATTTAATGACATCATTACGAAGTATGGTGTGTCACATGTACTAAAGTTTATATATCTAATTATTTTTAAAATAATACCAGAAATTGACACCAAATTCATAAAACGCGTAACATGATATGTCAAAGGAGCCAAACAATGCCAAAAATATTTTCATTTTTCAAATGTTAAAAAGTAATTGGAAAAGATTGCCCAAGTAACCACGCTCCCAAAGAAAGACCGTTGTCCTTTCAGGTGTCTGTGATAACCATCGGTCTGGCCTGGTCAGCATCACGTCCGCCCTGGGTCATATCATGTCCGATGACAGTTGCCATTGAGGTGGTCTCTTATTCACGCTCGGTAAGAGAAGAAATCCTAATGATTAAACCATACAAGAGAATGATAATTGAGAACAAATGAATCAAGAAGTAAGGGTTGTCCGGCGACGGAGCTATAGAGGGCTTGCTCCCGCCACGGGCAATGTTAAACATCACAGCAGACCTCGTAAAAAGTTAATGTTACGATGAATAAGTATGCCAATCCTTGAAGCTGGGCTCTGCCTGGCAGCTTGTCATCATAACAGGCAGCTGCCCGGAGACAACTCTTTCGACGCATAAAGTGTAGCACGCGAGTACCCATTCTCTTCCTGTCGAACTTCACGCGGGTAGTTTCACGCCCTCACTGTTATATATCTGGTGTTGGATGTCAAATTGATCATTGCAATGATTATAAAGGTCTTTCAGCTTACGTCGTCAATTGTTGACGTAAATCCTTTTTGGGTTTGGTTATACAGGAGGATGTTCAGCCAAAAGTTTGATCTAAATATTTTGAGGACCTGATTGCACCTTGTCAAATGGGGCAGAATTTTGTCTCGGCGCCGTGGGCAAGCCAGGTGCATATGAAAACACCAGTAGACTTGAGCTTCGGCCAAATGGTCTGTTTAGGGGCACCTCGTAACAAAAGTTTATGGAACCAACGGAAACTTAAATTAGACACATTGATTTCTATAGCCGGGTGTTTTGAAAGCAATTCAAGCGAACTGGCGAATTACTTTTTAATTACGCATATCATTGTACGGCAACTGCGTAGATCGATAATATGTATAAACAGTATGGTATCCATGGCTGCAACAAGACCAGGTAACAACTGTGTCCAGAGCGAAGTAAGTTTACGCTTCAGGCCGCTACCAACATATCCAGCGTTATCTTATCTAAACATTTGCACGCTTGGGCATGCGGGTAAGTCGGGCCGCGCCCTGAACCTGGCCATATTCTTTTGATATGATTTTTGCTGTTTGGGCTAATGCGTTCTCTTTTAACGGCCATGAAAGGGATATTTACAAGGAACCACATTTTCCCAACAAGGTAGGTGATCCTTCCGCAAGTTTATTCAATACCATACATTTACACCAATCTATTGTATCTATGATTTTAGGAAAATACATGTGTGCTCGCCAAAAATGTTTCTTTGTTTGGTCGCATTACTGAAGTTGGGTCGTACAATACTGAACAAACTTTATGGATAACAATTTCTCTTGAGCAACATTCCTGCCTGACAACGGTACAAAAATCTGTATCGATACGTCGCACTCACGAAATAAAACAAAAACTTTCCTTTCAACTGTAGGTTCAACACTACGGCTGTGTAGATTTGACCCAAACGATTAATTTAAATATCGAGAATCCCATTTCCCGTTTTTTTGGTGACAATATCTTCCATCAACAGCAACGTATGCTGCTTACATTCACTCATTCCATTTTCACTCAGTTTGTCTGAACTGACTTTGACTACACTTATTCTATTCTACCTTCACTCAGTTTGTGTGAACTGACTATGACTACACTTATTCTATTCTACCTTCACTCAGTTTGTGTGAACTGACTTTGACTACACTTATTCTATTCCACCTTCACTCAGTTTGTGTGAACTGACTTTGACTACACTTATTCTATTCTACTTTCACTCAGTTTGTCTGAACTGACTTTGACTACACTCATTCTATTCTACTTTCACTCAGTTTGTGTGAACTGACTTTGACTACACTTATTCTATTCTACTTTCACTTAGTTCGTCTGAACCGACTTTGACTATACTTATTCTATTCTACCTTCACTCAGTTTGTGTGAACTGACTTTGACTACACTTATTCTATTCCACCTTCACTCAGTTTGTGTGAACTGACTTTGACTACACTTATTCTATTCTACTTTCACTCAGTTTGTCTGAACTGACTTTGACTACACTCATTCTATTCTACCTTCACTCAGTTTGTGTGAACTGACTTTGACTACACTTATTCTATTCTACTTTCACTTAGTTCGTCTGAACTGACTTTGACTACACTTATT